TGATCACAGGAAAAAGGGTGGTAGGCTGTGAAACGGCGACACGCGGCTACCTACTTACATGTTGCGTAACGCTTATAAATATACCCATGGTTCATATTCCTGCGCTAGTCAGCACTGCATAATAAAGTTTACAGACTCTGTGCACTAATTTCAGTATCATGGGGTCGTACCAGTGTCTGCGCCCTGCTCCGTGCATCCGTGTATCTTCGTCCGTGCAGCCGGTCGAGCTCCCGTGCAGTCGTGCAGTCCCGTGCACTATCATGACGTGGACATGTGAAAAGCCTCACTATTGAGAGGACCTTGTCTGAATATATCTGTAATCTGTAATCGTGCTCCCGTGCAGCCGTGCTCCGCACATACCTACAGTTCCGTCTGTGCTACCATATAGCTTCATCCGTGCTCCCGTGCTACCCAGCTCCCGTGCTCCCGTGCCACCCAGCTCCCGTGCTCCCGTGTAGCTCCATCCGTGCAGCCGTGCCCCGCTGATTCACGGCTCGGAGCGGCCACAGACCGACACACTGACGGTATGGAGATGAGCTGGCTCTCAATGACGGTGGACTCGTCGCCTGTGGGGATGCCCAAGGCCGGTTCTTCTGAACTAGAGAGAGAGGTCAGAAAGGGTACAGGGTGCAATGAGGACGGGTGTAGGAGGGACAGGGTGCAGGATGCAATGAGCAGGGAGAGAGGACGTAGTTAAAGGGCACACCATGCAGAGAGGATGCAGGAATAGACCACGCTGTCCAGCCGCGCGAGGTCCAGCGATTTTTGAGCATCTTAAAAGGCCCAGCCCTTTGTACTTAATTTGATATGAGTTCTTCGCTATGCAGGTCACACTAGGCTGCACTAGCCCCTGGCGGGCTATAGACGTCCGTCGATGACTAAGGAGTGCTTTGTTAGTAGATAAATAGCCATCATTCGATGGATGGTGGGCGCGATATGCCCTTTTGTTGCCGAGATGTGAGTGAGTGATTGACTGCATTGCTAAAGTTATCGATTACAGCTGTCACGGTACGCGGAAAGTCTGTGTCGCATCGCTTGACAAATAAATGTGTCTGAGAGTTCCGCGCTATTCCTGAAAGCATGGGTAGACTCAGAGGGAATGCATCGCCGAATTGATAAGCTGGATGCCTCCTGGTAAGGTGGTTGTTTAAACTTTGCGGAGGTATATCCTGACTGAAAAAGAGAACCGACGTGAAAGTAAACGTGTAATTTTCGATCGCATTATTATATTAGCAAAAAAAGCACGCTAAAGTGAACCGTGGATGAGATGATGCTAACTAGATAACAGATAATTACGAGCGAGCGAGCGCAGCGAGCGAAGTGAGTCTTTTCAATATAACGGAAAAATCTCAGTATGAGCGGCCCGGCCCGGCCCGGCCCGGCCCGGCCCGGCCTGTAACGCTTTTGAGAGGCTTATATCTCAGCAACCGCTGGACCGATTGGCCTGCGGTCTTTTTTGTTGGGTAGCCCCATCCCTTCTACCCCGTACTTGACTACTTTTGATACATCACAGTGACCGTCGCGGCACGTGCCACGTGAAAAGTCAAGGGTGTTCAAGCTGTTTTGCAAAAGTAGTGATTTTGAGAGGCTCATATCTCAGCAGCCGCTTGGGCGATTGACTTGCGGTAATTTTTGTAGGGTAGCAGCATCCCTTCTACCCTAGGATACTCTTGATGTATGTGGGTAACCCCTAGTGCACGTGCAAAATACAACAATAAGAGGTGCCAAATTTGTTCCCATTTCAGTAACTCGGTAATTACTGGGGCGATTGCGCTGAAACTTGGCATACACCCAGCCAGCCTTCCCAAATGGGGCCCATATGGGCTGAAAGTGGGGCATCTGGGCTTAAGTGGGCATGGGCTACATGTGGGCTATTATCTGGGCTAAATCTGGGTCCCATATGGGCTGAGCCCCAGCAAACATGCCCACATGGGTCCCATATGGGGTGAACATGGGCCAAATGGGCCCACGTGGGACATGGGCTACAGATGGGCTACCCACATGGGCCCCATATGGGATAAAAATGGGCCAGGTGGGCCAAACGCATGTGGGCTGGAGATGGGCATCCCATGTGGGTCCCATATGGGGTGAACATGGGCCAGATGGGCCCACGTGGGACATGGGCTACAGATGGGCAACCCATATGGGCCCCATATGGGATAAAAATGGGCCAGGTGGGCCAAACGCATGTGGGCTGGAGATGGGCATCCCATGTGGTCCCATATGGGGTAAACATGGGCCAGATGGGCCCAGTGGGACATGGGCTACAGATGGGCTACCCATATGGGCCCCATGTGAGATAAAAATGGGCCAGGTGGGCCAAACGCATGTGGGCTGGAGATGGGCATCCCATGTGGGTCCCATATGGGGTGAACATGGGCCAGATGGGCCCACGTGGGACATGGGCTACAGATGGGCTACCCATATGGGCCCCATATGGGATAAAAATGGGCCAGGTGGGCCAAACACATGTGGGCTGGAGATGGGCATCCCATGTGGGTCCCATATGGGGTGAACATGGGCCAGATGGGCCCACGTGGGACATGGGCTACAGATGGGCTACCCATATGGGCCCCATATGGGATAAAAATGGGCCAGGTGGGCCAAACGCATGTGGGCTGGAGATGGGCATCCCATGTGGATCCCATATGGGGTAAACATGGGCCAGATGGGCCCACGTGGGACATGGGCTACAGATGGGCTACCCACATGGGCCCCATATGGGATAAAAATGGGCCAGGTGGGCCAAACGCATGTGGGCTGGAGATGGGCATCCCATGTGGGTCCCATATGGGGTGAACATGGGCCAGATGGGCCCACGTGGGACATGGGCTACAGATGGGCTACCCATATGGGCCCCATATGGGATAAAAATGGGTCAGGTGGGCCAAACGCATGTGGGCTGGAGATGGGCATCCAATGTGGGTCCCATATGGGGTAAACATGGGCCAGATGGGCCCAGTGGGACATGGGCTACAGATGGGCTACCCATATGGGCCCCATGTGAGATAAAAATGGGCCAGATGGGCCAAACGCATGTGGGCTGGAGATGGGTATCCCATGTGGGTCCCAGATGGGCCCACGTGGGACATGGGCTACAGATGGGCTACCCATATGGGCCCCATAAGGGATAAAAATGAGCCAGGTGGGCCAAATGCATGTGGGCTGGAGATGGGCCTCTCATGTGATATGGGCCCCATATGAGATAAAAATGGGCCAGGTGGGCCAAACGCATGTGGGCTGGAGATGGGCATCCCATGTGGGTCCCAGATGGGCCCACGTGGGACATGGGCTACAGATGGGCTATCCATATGGCCCCATATGGGATAAAACTGGGCAAGGTGGGCCAAACGCATGTGGGCTGGAGATGGGCATCCCATGTGGGTCCCATATGGGGTGAACATAGGCCAGATGGGCTCACGTGGGACATGGGATACAGATGGGCTACCCATATGGGCCCCATATGGGATAAAAATGGGCCAGGTGGGCCAAATGCATGTGGGCTGGAGATGGGCATCCCATGTGGGTCCCATATGGGGTAAACATGGGCCAGATGGGCCCAGTGGGACATGGGCTACAGATGGGCTACCCATATGGGCCCCATATGGGATAAAAATGGGCCAGGTGGGCCAATCGCATGTGGGCTGGAGATGGATATCCCATGTGGGTCCCATATGGGGTAAACATGGGCCAGATGGGCTCACGTGGGACATGGGCTACAGATGGGCTACCCATATGGGCCCCATATGGGAAAAATGGGCCAGGTGGGCCAAACGCATGTGGGCTGGAGATGGGCATCCCATGTGGGTCCCATATGGATCACCCATGTAGGCCCCATTTAAGTTACTCCAAGAGCATAAAAGCAAAAAAGGTGACTGTTGTTCATGTGAATTTTGGACTCCAAGTACATCAAGTTCATACATGATGCCATATGGGCTCAATGTAGGCTGACCCATATGGGTCCCATGTGGGGGCCGCGTGGGTCTCATATGGGGCCTACGTGGGCTTGCCCATACGGGTCCCATGTGTCACCCACTGCTATTCCCATCAGGGGCCCATATGGAAGAGGTGGGGGGGCCATGTGGGCCCCATATGGGAACCATGTGGGCATGTTTGCTGAGACATGAACATTTCCTTTACTACAAAATGTTGGTATCTGACCCGACACCTATCTGGGCTGGATGCGGGCAGCATGTGGGCAAACTGGACATCAACAAGCTGGGCACACCCAGCCGGGGCCCACATGGGGCCCGGCCACCCACATGGACAAAATTTACTACAAAACTTTGTTAACTGACCCGACACCTAGGTATCTGGGCTGGATGCGGGCAGCATGTGGGCAAACTGGACACCAACACGCTGGGCACACCTAGCCGGGGCCCACATGGGGCCCAGCCGCCCACATGGGCAAAATTTACTACAAAACTTTGTTAACTGACCCGACACCTATCTGGGCTGGATGCGGGCAGCATGTGGGCAGACTGGGCACCAACAAGCTGGGCACACCCATCCGGGGCCCACATGGGCAAAAGTTACTACAAAACTAATTGTTAACTGACCCGACACCTACACCATATATAAACATTTCCTTTATTACAAAATTTTGTTAACTGACCCGGCACCTATCTGGGCTGGATGCGGGCAGCATGTGGGCATACTGGGCACCAACAAGCTGGGCACACCCATCCGGGGCACACATGTGGCCCAAATGGGCAAACTTTACTACACTTTGTTAACTGACCCGACACCTATCTGGGCTGGATGCGGGCAGCATGTGGGCAGACTGGGCACCAACAAGCTGGGCACACCCATCCGGGGCCCACATGGGGCCCAAATGGGCAAACCTTACTACAAAACTTTGTTAACTGACCCGACACCTATCTGGGCTGGATGCGGGCAGCATGTGGGCAGACTGGGCACCAACAAACTGGGCACACCCATCCGGGGCCCACGTGGGGCCCAAATGGGCAAACCCCAGCCAGCATGCCCATGTGGGCCCCACATGGGCAGTTGATGGGCATGGTGGGCTAGGTGGGCCATGGGCTAGAGATGGGCAAATATGTGGGCTGCATGTGGGCCCCACATGGGCTGCCCACATATTTTTGGCAGGCATAATGCTTGATAATGAGATTGCTTGCACATGTACGAGGGCATATCCAGGAATTTTGGTGAACACAGGCATTCACGCGGTGTTCCTGTATGGTGGGCTTAACATGGGCACTGCGTGGGCAGCCCATGTAGTGGGGTGTAGGTGGGCTGGATGTGGGCAGCCCATTATTTATTTTTTCACTGTCCAATGTGTATGATATTACAAGAAAAAAGAACTCGCTGTTTAGTCTCATGCCTCCAAAATACACTTCGACGTCGTGAGGAAGTCGCATAGTTGATGTTTGTGAGACCAGCTACGGCTGATATTGGACAGTCAATGTTGTGATTGTGTCGTATGATTGTGTCGCCTGAGCCCGCCCCTGCGCGGGCGACCCGCCGGCGGAGCTCGGCCCACCGGACGGGGCCTGGGGCCGCCTCTGCACCGCCCGGGGCGGTGACCGGCCGACCGGCTGGCGGGGCTGCGGCGTCTGGGCGGGCCAGTTGGCGTTGAGACTCTGAGTGGTGTGCGTGTCCAATAAAGCCTTAATTCGGGCGGAATCGACACATGGCGCGGTCGGTATTAGCTCGAACCCGCCCATAGTGAGTACAAAGTGCGATGAACGAAAGTGAAAGGAAGCAGGAATGCGTAGCCGTGGCGGCCGCGCCGCAACCACGACCGCGTTCGAGTCTCTTCGGAGAGGCGCGCCCGCAGCGACGCCAGCTGTATCGCTAGTTGGTCGAGTTGGAGTCGCAGCTGTGACATCAGGACGTAGTCGTCCCATCTCTCCTTCCAGAGGTAGAAGGCGTCACTGCGGTCGGTGGAGATCAGGGTTGTATACGACTCAATCAATAGCAATCAATTCAATCACGACAAATTTGGGAAACCAATCAAATCAATCAAGTCAGAGCAGTTTTCGGGAATTGATTCAATCGACTCAAACGCGACAATGAAAGGAATCAATCAACTCAATCAAACGACTCAAACCAAGACATACATTAGGTTTTTTGCCCCACCAACTTGGAAAAGTGATGGACAGGTGGATCATGATATTGAGGTTCAATGGGTAGAATTGGAGCAGAAGTTTCATTTAATGGGTGCAAAATAACCCAGTAGTTGACTCGCCCCTTAACCCAAATCACCACCTTTCACCTAAAAGTTGTCAATTTAATTTTGGCCATATTCCAGCTAAGTCATCAGGCCATCTACCCCATGTAAAGCCCCTGTCTGTCTCTTATGTGAGTTATGCGGAGCTCTCTGAAATGAACCCTAAACATAATTAACCTAGCTTTTCATGCCACACTGACACCATATGAAGGACGACGGTGAAAACAGGGCGCCTGGGGCGATTTGATCAAGGTTCGTGAAATTTACACGTGACGTTTGGCATATAGAAGGCCCATAAAGCGGGAGAAGTTCCAAATGTCACGTGACTAATATGCCCTCCGGCGCCCTGTTTTCACCGGCGTCCCATATGAAAGTGTTGAAAATGTGCTACAAATTTGACAACTTCATTAGGTATGCTTTATGAAGACAGCAGGAAAGCAGGTAGGTACCTACTTACCTGCCTAGATGTGTCACTGGCAATACCAACAGTACCAGCGAAGGTAGATAGGTTATATGTGAAGAATTCAAAACATTGTATTGCAATACAATTTGAAACTGTTGGGACTCGTTTTGCCAACAAGTATGCTAAGCTTTTATAAATCCTTATTCTACGTCTTTTGATTTTTTGGTAAGATGACGTCATTGATAATCATGTTGTATGGTAGATCATCATAAAATAAATCGGTTGTACAACACCAATTTCGTTTTAATTATTATTTCATTTGAAATAAAACCACTTTATAATATTCGGTAAAATATTTAAATATTTCAAGGAAAATGAAATATATTAAATATGTTATGCTTAGGCTCTCAGGAGAAAAGGATCAACAAACGCTCTGCTGCAAATTAAACAATGCAGCAAATTTAGCGAGACGAAAACGGCGCTTTTGTTTCCGTTATTTTTGTAGGGGTTCACTGAACTCTATAATGTGGAATGCGCATCGGCCGCCAAATGGTGTCCAACGGTGCCGCCATGTTGCGCAGACCAGAAAGCGGCCGCCGCCTGTGCTGGGGAATAGGGAATTCGGGACCTCGATTTACGTTTGCGGTCGCTGCATCCGTTACGCTCAAGCTATGTGGACACGGAACCCGGCATCTTACGCAGAATTGAGTGGAGAACAAGATGAAATTCTAAAAAATCCTCAGCTACAAGGAACTAATACGTTAAACCCTTATAAGTCAATGGGGAAATATGAAAATTGCTATTTTGGCGCCGAGAATGATCTGAAACTATCTCAAGCATATAGAATCATGATTTCATGCACTTTTTGCAAGGTTCTATGCTTCATATTTGCATTGTTGCCCTTGCGTGACGTCATCTGTGACGTCACAAGGGTCACAATTTTTCTTCAATAACTCCCGATCAAATTGAGCTAGCGAGTCGGGAAAGCCACCAATGGACTCAGGAAGACCTGCCGAATCGAATGATATGCGACATGACCTCTTTCGACCAACTTCGTGACCTGGGGGTGCTGACCTGACCTTGACCTGAGCTCAACACCCCAAGTTGACCTGACCCGAACAAAAAGTATATCACTCGATGCGCCTGGGCTAGCTGAACACGATGATGCCAAAATCGCGGCTCTACGGCCATTTTTGGCGAAACTATTTACCAAAAACCGAACCCGTGCCTTAGATCACTTGACCTGACCTCAGAGGTCACCGGTTGACCTGAGACCCTTACAGCGGGTTCCTACCAGTCACTCTGCATTATACTTTGCCGCATACGACCACTTTACCGCTTAATTCTAGTTTAATTAGCGGTGCATTAGCGAGGTGGGTTCAATCAACCCCCTCGGCCGGGGCAAATGTAGGTCAGGCGAGTGAATTTGAGGAATTCTAAAGATACGATCGTGTTCCCCACTCAATTCTGCGTAAGATGCCGGGTTCCGTATCTACGTAACTTGAACGTAACGGATACGGCGGCCGCAAACGTAAATCGAGGTCCCGAATTCCCTATTCCTCAACACAGGCGGCAGCCGGCTTCTGGTCTGCGCAATATGGCCGCCACCGTTAGACACTACGGCCAATAGGGTTGAAGCGGCATTGCTCCCCTGTGTAGGGGTTTCAGATATTTATAGAGTTCAGTGGGTTGTTTCTTGAGGAGATGTGGAGATGTGAATTATTAATTAATCACACTTTATTAGTATATAGGGCCTTACACTTTATCATCTGGATTAAAAAAAAAGTTTCCTGCTGAGTGCAGAAAGGTAGGTATAGGTGCCTCGCCAGGTTCTATCACCAGGATTGGAGCAGTTATTGCAGTTGAAAGTCAAAGTTGGCTGTTCATGTTTAGGCCCTGTTCTTTATTTGACCATCTACCCCATATTGCAGTTGTGATGACAAGCAGTTTTCAGTGTAGTTTTGTGATCTTTGATGTCACCAAATGGTGTCATTATTTTTCGTCAACTAAAACTTATTTGAACTTTCCATTCAATCGACTCAATCATACGAGTCACTCTAATTTTCGGGAATCAAATCAGTCAACCAGTCGCTAAAGTCAAACGAGTCAGTCAACCAGTCATCTCGAAAAGTCAATCGACTCAATCCAATCAACTCAAAATACGCGTTGAATCAAATCAATCAATTCAATCGACTTGATTGGTATACAACCCTGGTGGAGATGTCCAGTCGGTCAGGCCGGATCGGCTGCAGGCTCGTCATACCACAGCGATTACGAAGGACTGTTCTAGAAGCCCTCCACGCCAGCCACCTGGGGAAGGAGAAGACAAAGGCCCGCGCAAGACAGATCGTCTACTAGCCCGGGATCTACCGGGATGTGGAAAATGTCACCCGCTGCTGTACCAGCTGCCAGAGAGATCTACCCGCTCAGCAGCAAGAGACCATGATGAGGAGACCGCCAGCGGAAAGGCCGTTCGAACTACACATCGACTTTGCCGATCACGCCGGCAGGAAGTACCTCGTGGCAGTGGACAGATACTCCGGGTGGCTGTTTGTCGCCGACCTCGGTGTAAGCGCCCCCGCTTACACCGGTCCGAAGGACGATAGCAGGCGTCATGACGAGCGCACTCGCTACGCGACTAAGCGTAAATGGACGGCACGGGAAAAGGGCTTTCGGTGGTACCCGGCTTTTTGATGTCGTGTTCAGTAAGTAATGGTTTTATCTCTTTATTTAATTGCCCAACTCCCTTGGACACCTGATAGCGGATGTCAGAATAACAGCAGCACTCCCATTCATATGTTATTTCAGGTGTCGTCAATTACTGTCCGATTAGCGAATTTCAAGCAGCCGACTTATAAAGCGCTAATGTCCTTTGTGTCCATCATAATCGGACCTTGTATGTTTATTCTGCATCAGATTATTTCCTGCAAAAAAAAAAAAAATATTTAAAGATCATTTCTCAATTATTCAAGTCAAATCAGATGATGTTACTTTTAATGCAGGTAATACAGAATCATGGTAGAACACAGCACGGGCAATACACAATTCGCTTATGTGTCTGCACATTTTACATTGCTGGTGCTTATTTTACAGGAGCCGTGCGGCGGAACGGGCTTACCCAGGACACCAACAACGGCCAGCTGGAGGTGGCGCCACGAAAGTGGTTTACGGGTGCCAGGAACCGCGACGGAGGCCGCCAGGAGAGGAGACCAGCTGGAGTTTTAGCGGAGGAGCAGATGAGAGAAGAAGTCTAGAGATGAGCAGAAGAGAGCAGAGAGTTTAAACAGCATTTTTGTGTTTATCGATAATATAAATATTGATCACTGACAGTTTGTTTTGTTGCGGTGGCGAACGTTCAGCAATGATCAGGGGGAGTGATTGAAATAGCAGACATCGATTATATTATAATCATATTGAAATTAATTGTAGGTTCTGGTGGGAACTAAGATGGGCTTTGGTGAATATTTATTGATTAATACAAACGATGCTAGGGAGGTGTGAGCCAGCATGGGGCCCACCTAGGGCCCACATCTGCTGGCCCACGTGGACCCCATATGGTACCCACCTTGAGCCCATGTGGGCCAGCCCAGGTGGGCCACATATGGTACCCATCTTGAGCCCATGTGGGCCAGCCCAGGTGGCCCCATATGGTACCCACCTTGAGCCCACGTGGGCCAGCCCAGGTGGGCCCCACCATTTACCCAGGGACAAATTTATGTGGGCCCCACATGGGCTGCCCACATGGGTCCCACCAAGTGGCCCACCTGGGCCCCATGTGGGGCCAAGGTAATAATGTTGGCTGGGTATGGGTCCCAGCTGGGTCCCATTTCGAACCCACATGGGCTCCAGGTGGGATTTTTCGCTTATACCCATTTGGGTCCCGGCTGGGAAAGCCCATATGGGACCCGGCTGGGCCCCATATGGGTCCCATGTCGAACCCACATGGGCCCCATGTGGGATTTTTCGCTTATACCCATGTGGGTCCCGGCTGGGAAAGCCCATGTGGGACCCATATGTGCCCCGGCTGGGCCCCAATTGGGTCCCATTTCGAACCCACATGGGCCCCATGTGGGATTTTTCGCTTATATCCATGTGGGTCCCGGCTGGGAAAGCCCATGTGGGACCCATATGTGCCCCGGCTGGGCCCCATATGGGTCCCATTTCGAACCCGCATGAGCCCCATGTGGGATTTTTCGCTTATACTCATGTGGGTCCCGGCTGGGAAAGCCCATGTGGGACCCATATGTGCCCCGGCTGGGCCCCATATGGGTCCCATTTCGAACCCACATGGGCCCCATGTGGGATTTTTCAATTATACCCATGTGGGTCCCGGCTGGGAAAGCCCATGTGGGACCCATATGTGCCCCGGCTGGGCCCCATATGGGTCCCATTTCGAACCCACATGGGCCCCATGTGGGATTCTTCAATTATACCCATGTGGGTCCCGGCTGGGAAAGCCCATGTGGGACCCATATGTGCCCCGGCTGGGCCCCATATGGGGCCCATCTGGGCTGCCCATATGGGACCCAGTTGGACGCCCATGACAAACACATCTGGGCCCCAAGTGGGCAGCCCAGATGGGCCCCAGTTTGCTGCCCACTTGGGGCCCATATGGGCCCCATTTGGGAAGGCTGGCTGGGCAGGTAGGCACCCGCCAGGCAATGCATTCCCATGTGTTGCGGTTAGGGTGCTACTGCACGTGCGCACGTGCAGGGGGCGTTTCCAGATCTCGAGAACGGCTGGGCCGATTGCGCTCAAATTTGGTACACGGTTGGGGACCAGTTAGTAGGGTGCCGTGCAAAAGTCATTTTGGACCCCGTTTGCACGTGCGCACGTGCAGAATGCCGCTTCCAGATCTCAGGAACGGCTGGGCCGATTGCGTTCAAATTTGGCACACCGCTAGCGACCGGTTAGAAGGGTGCTTTGCGCAAGCCCGTTGGAAGCACCCTCTCTCCCTTCCGCACGTGCAGGGCTCACTATCTCGCTCGCTCGTTCTTCGCCCAAAAGGCGTTTTACTGGTAATAGATAATAGTATCATCTGATATATGAGTGATCCTTACCTCGAGACAGTTTCCTGGGATTTAGCGTATTTTAACCCTCACCCGCACATGGGGGGGGGGGGTGGTTGCCACCCCCCCCCCCCCAGGTAGTCTTTCTGCTCTGCACTCAACATTTTTGGAGCTAGGAGGCTCATTTTTGGTATAGCTGCTCCTCTATCCTTTCTTGATGTCCACTGAAAATTTCAAGTTTCTGCGGTTTTTGGTTCCGGAGATATGACCTTGTTTTTCAGGTCGTGTCATGACCCAAATGGCCAATTCTCAACATCTGGCGTTGGCTACGGGCCTTGTGAGCTTTTGACACCTTGATTTCGGCCTTTTTTGCCAGTCTTACCTCCCACCTATCATGGAACATGTTGTTCGACGATGTACAGATGTCAAGGTCAGGGTCAAGGTCAACCTAGGTCATCTAAGATAATTGCGTTTTAGGCGAGCGGAATTTACTTTTTGTGATTTTTTTTTACTGCATTTTTGGTAAAAGCTTCTCAGATCATGATTTCATGTAATATGGACACAAAAACAATCGGTGCACACATCAGTATACACACAGACACACACAGACATACAAACACATATAATTGACCTTGACCTAACTTGACCTGAAATGACCTCAGCAGCAAAAACCTGGTCGGGTAGTGTGACAAAGAGGTTCTAGCTGGCTTGGCACCAGAAAACGGCATCGTCATCGGTATACGATAAGCAGCGCACTTGATATCCAACGGTGACCCAAAACAGCAACATTTTTTAGTTTGACCTGACCTGGAAGGTCAATGACTGACCTGAGAAGGTAAAACTGGGTATCATTGGATTCGTCTCTTCCCAAAGAATCTTTTTGGTCTTTACCGCTAAGCTCTATCTCCAACAGGAACGAAATGGCGCGGGGGGGGGGTGGCAACCACCCCCCCCCCATGTGCGTTCTAGGATGGCAAAATGGCATGTGCGGGCGAGGGTTAACCAACTAATAAACATGCATCAAATAGCCTATAAGCTATACATTTATCAATGTATTGAATAAAATATTTCATATATAAAGAGCAACATTTATACCAATGCAGCTCCCAGAAGTCCCACCGAACAAATGACCCGCATTCTCATAAGACTTTTAGTATCCGCGTCCTTCTCATTACCCCCCCCCCCCCCCACCCCCACCCCCACCCGCGTTCCTAGCATTCCTCCGCCTTTCAGACCGCATAACGTTCATATGTGCGTCGGCATGCGTGAGTATGTGTGTCTGCGCGTGTGCGTACCGTCTCGAATGCAGGCCGTTACCGCCCGAGGGCATGGAGCTCGAGAGAAGGGAGCGAGGGAACAATGGTCCGAACGATGTGGTGGTCCAAATGGTCCAAATGCCAGTGGTGAGCCGATTTTACGCTGAGCCTCAGTGGTGTGTAATGGCCATTGTGTATGCAAGCAGCTTGCGCGGTGCGCATGACACTTGTGTCTTTAGGATTTTGTTGTTGTTATAGAACAAGGGTAACCTATTGAAAATTGAGGGGAAAAATATGCTGTCACGAATTTGGCAACCAAAATGTGACCCACATTATATGAATGATACTGAAAAGTGTGTGTGACTGGGAAGTGCGAATATATCTTCAAATTTTCAACATAATTTGTCTACACGTGAATTATACTCTCAAGGAAGCCGATTTGCTTCTAAAACAGATTCACCAGACTCTACACAGAGTCCCAACAGAAGCAGAGGCTGCTCCACTTCGCTCTGCTCTCATGTCAGTGCACGTCATTCCCTTTCATCAGCACCATGATCGGATGTGACGCGCGGCATCCCTTTGTCTCCTTTCATTCCCCATCCTCCCATTCACTCCATTGACGGAGGGAGGGGTCGGCCTCCCCCCCCCCCCCGGACGGGCGGGGTACAGCGGTACTTGGGGAGGGTGACATGGAGGTGGGAGTTTCCCATCCATCATCAGTTTGGGTTGTATAGAGTCTGAATGCCGGCCCCGGACGGAGGGATGTGTGCCGCCAGCTTCAGCGGGAGATTGGGATGATAGGACAGACCTCGGGCCGGGCTGAGATACACAGTGGTGCTAGAGACATGATACGGCAGGTGCATCTTTCCAATCAGTCTTCTACTATTGATTTACTTGTGATATTAACTACTCATTCATTTTACAATAAATTAGCAATTGTTACTCGTCAAAACAACGGATAGTAGAGCGATAACAACTTTATCTGGAGCAATGCATATAATATACTCAACAAAATGCATGTTCAAATGGACATTTAATCGTGCAGCTGTGCTAACAGCACAGGGGAGGATCATCCACAAAGTTCTTCGTCTAATCACACCCCGAGGAACTGCCTCCCTACGCGTCATCAAGCGTCACGGTTCAACAGGAAGTCCCAAAGCCAGCAACGACCCGAGGTGACCTCTGGTGACCCACGGTGACCTCTGACACGACCCTCACTATTTGGCGAGTCTTCAGAGCCGCAGTAGGTGGTTCTGCTGGTCATTATGACGCGTCGCCACATCCGTACGAGTCACAGTAATTGTGGGAATGAAGACGGGAGTCGGGATAGGCTGTCTTTGCTCAGTGAATGTGATACCATGGGTCATACACTGATTTTATGTACAGCATAGCATCGTTTCATCACCTGAATTTGCAATATTATTTACGCAAATACATAGTTGGATCGTTCCTTACGATAAGAGCCATATAGGGTCGCATGCCAATTAAACTTTTTACCAACAGATCATTTCACATTTCCAAATGTGATAGCCGATCAATGCAAGGCCTAAGATAGAGGCAAGTTGACTACATCACTGCATCACATCAGCAGAGGAAGCATCTCTTTTCCAGGAAATATATCTCCCTAACCTGTTGTGCAATGCACATTCCAAGAGCTTCTTGGTGCTATATTACTAACACCTACCTCTATATCGACGCTTCCCATAACACGGCCTATCAGGGCTCGCCAAGAAGCCCCTCTCACTCCAAGGGTCAGGGTTATCTGACGTGCGTGTGACGTCACAGGGTCATAGGCCAATCACGGCTATCGCTCATCGCTGCGCATCAACAACAGTGAGAACGTGACTTTCTCCTGCTGCGTTTTTCAGTCAACAGGAGCGGTAATCGAGCAACGATATAGGTATAAGGGCTTCCGAAGGAAGCATTTGGTTTAGATTAATCTGATGACTATACTGCAATAGCCAGTTTGATTCAAATAAACAACAGCTGATCACAATCCCTGATGTTCGCTAAACGAATTATCTAAATCCTTATCAGCCGTCTTAGCGACTGACCCTGTCAC